GGTTATTGATTAGGAAATCTTTCAAATAAAAGTCAAGTTTGAAGTCTTAACAGTAGCGGAAGTTTCCAGGAGAGAGTTCAGATTGAGAAAATTAGAGTACTAAAAGAGAACTTGCAGTGATTAATTTTTGGGTGACAAAGAATCCAAGTCAGTGAAAGAAAGAAAATAAGAAGTTAGAAAACAGGGCAAGTATAAAGCCATATAAACCATGGAGAGAAAATGTGAAGAAACTAGGGTGTAATCAACAGTGTAAATAGTTTTGGAGACCATGATGAATGAAAAATGGTGGAAGATTATTAGTGCTTTGGTGGTGGGCATGGGGTGGTAACATACATTTTTAGAGGTGTAAACATATAAAACATATACAGTTATAAATCAGTTACCTCAATAAACATATATATGTTTATTGTATGTTTATATAATTATTATATAATATATATAGCAGTTGAAGTTAATCTAAAAAATAATAAGAATCTGGATAACTTTCATTTGATGAGATAAAGTATGTCTATAAAGTTTGAGATCATAGTCATTGTTATTTATAATATTATTCCATAATTTTCACAATTGAAAAATCCCTCTCTGTTACGTTTTTGTCACCTACAACTCAAGGCCTAATCCAGAGTCAAGTGTTTGCATCTAAGTATTATACAGCTCTTTTAGATGTCTTGAGACCTTGGGAAGAAAATTATTTAACCTCTGTGTAATAATACAGCTTTGATTCTGTCACTGAGACAGAATAATCAAATCACTATAATACATGACTTGCAAAAGTCTTCAGAAGAGATCAATATAACATGCAAATTCTATTAAAATTTTGACTTTTAAAAATGTTAAAATGAAAAAATTGGTGTTTTTTGAAAGTTGTCTCATCTTTCTTTCTTTCTTTTTTTTTTTTTTGTGTGTGTGTGGGACCCTCGGCGCTGTAGAAGCTGCGGGCAGCCTCGCAGCCCAGCGCTCAACCGCTGTGCCACCAGGGGAGGCCCTAACAGCAACTTCTATTTCCATTCATTGCTTTACTAGTCTCTCAAATGTGTACAAGTTCAAATAATTAAATTTTTTTCTTTTCTTCATTACTCAGAGTCATCGGTCTAAGACCTGTTGATTTTTCCTTTCACATACTCATCCCTTTCAAATACCACAGCTTCCATAAACATTGAGGGATGCAGTTGCTTGTGTTTGGGGCTGTTCTCTGATCCTCTAAAGAGATCTTTCTGTCACAGGGCACTTAGCCCTGAAGTATATTTTGAAATCCAGAGTCAGATTTCAACGTCTACGATGTGTTCACCTTTATCATTGTAAATGCCAACACCATTCTTCGCTCCCTGGTTGCGGCTGTGTTTAATGAGGATCACCCTGAATCAAATTAATAACAGCACTGCATTTAGCGCTTTTCATGTTAGCTACTGTGTATCTTTTATGTAGTATTTAATTTTCTAAACAATCCACTGAGGTAGGTATTTCTTTATTGTCTAGATGGGGCAATAGAAATTAAGCTTCTTGTCCAAAGTCACTCAGAAGCTAAATGGCAAAGTCAGGCAGCACCGTCTGACATTACAGGCGAACTGCCCAAATCAACAGCTCCTCTTGGCTTCCTTTTAGTGTGGGCAACTACACCGGGATCAGCAAGGGCAGCAACCAAGGGAAAGGTCACGGCTTTGCTAGCTGTTCTTAAAAGAGTCTTGGGTCTCCCCTGGTGGCGCAGTGCTTGAGCGCCGGGCTGCGAAGCTGCCTGCAGCCTCTGCAGCGCCGGTTCGATACCCGGCTGCCGGCGAGGGTCCCACATGGCGTGCAGACCTCTCCTGCCGCCTGCTGCTCCCCTCAGCAGTGTATTTCATCGGTCTGCCTGCTCTGTTCCCCGCTCTGGCTCTGGTGAACTCTCTCACCCTCCCGTGCTTCTGACTGTACCCAGTGCTTGTATAAATAAATAAATAAATCTAAAAAAAAAGTCTTAGGGTTCACATTCATAAACTCAGTCTCTAAATCTGTGTTAACACAGCTGTGCTCCTACCTCCTTCTGTGTTACTATCTTCAGGCCTCAAGCTGCCTTTTGTAATTTTCTTTTCTTACTCAAGATTGTCCGTGATGTTGATCATCAATGAATTTCACACCATCAAAAAATCTTAGATGTGTTCTGCAAGTGATCCTGGTCCTTATTCCTAGCTTCCTACTGACTCCTTTTTCTTGTACCTCAAGTCTAGTCAGTTTTCTATTATATGAAACCAGCCCTCATCTCGGCACACTGCTCTACTAATTGTGTCTTAAATATACCTCATTCACTGTGATGCCGATGGTGATGATGGTGATCATAGAGGCACCTTATTCAGCCATTCTTTGGACTTCAAGCTCATTGTTTTTGGAGTGTGCTGTGTCTTATTCAGGCCTGGCAGAGTACCTAACAGATACGGAGGAAGGATAGTTTCTTAATGATTGAGAGAGAGTCTGTAAGTTGTAGAATCAAGTTGTTTAGGGGCAAGTTAGTTCCTCTGTGGCTTTGAATACACAATTTAAATTCTTTTGTGCATTATTTCCTTATCTATAAAAGGGATCTATTAAAGTATTGATGTCATACAATTTAAAGATTAAGTGACATAAGATAGTAAATTATTTAGAAAAGTTCCTGGCAAATAGTGAATGCCAGATTAATGTTCGTTATTAAACTTGTCAGCAGCCTCAGTGAGTATTTGTGGACTGCATATTGAGGATCTAATCAGTGCCAGCACTTAGTTATATTTTTTGCATCCATATCATTCAACCCTTATTTTAACACTGAGGTGAGTAATATTATTATTTACATTTTACAGGAGAGAAAATTAAAACTTAAGTAACTTACCTCGGTCACACAGCTCATAAGTGATAAGTATTCAGGATTTGAACATGGTCTGTGGGATTTCAAACCTGTGCTGCTTCCACCTTAGCACTCAGCCTTCACAGAGCTGCTTTCCAATCTTTCCTGCCTAAGGTGTACCTTAAAGTTAGTGAACTGACAGCATCAAACTATTTCTCAATAGTCCAGGTACATTTGCCCTGCTTACTATGTCAGGAATGAATTTTTCAGTGACAGAAACACTGAGACCTAAGAGTGCTGGGTCTATAGTTGTTGATCATCAAATGCTTGAAGGAATGAATGCTATCACTGTTACATACGAGGTCTTTATGAAGGTTACTAGTAGTATCCTCATCAGGTAAAAAGAAATTAGTGGGCCTCCTCGGTGGTGCAGCCGTTGAGCGCTGGGTTGCGAAGCTGCCCGCGGCCTCTGCGGCAACGGTTTGATCCCCAGCTGCTCCCCGGCCACCGGAGGTGGGTCCCACATGGCGCGCAGACCTTTCCTGCCGCCCGCTGCTCCCCTCAGCAGTGTACTTCGGTCCTTCTGCCTGCTCTGCTCCCCGCTCTGGCTCTGGTGAATTCTCTCACCCTCCCGCGCTTCTGACTGTACCCAGTGATTGTATAAAACAAACAAACAAACAAACAAACAAACAAATAAATAAATAATAAATAAATCTTTAAAAAAAAAGAAATTAGTAACTGATCATATTCCCTTGTTTATGACTTACTGCCTACAGAGCATATAAAAATTAGAGACCGATTTCCTTAGGGATTAAAAAAATGATGAATATATATTTTCTTATGAACTTGAGAGTTTTTCTATATTTTTTTAGCCTGAAAGTAACTGTTGCATGGCTAATTCAGAAGTCATTATATATCTGCTTTGTTTTCTCCCTCATTATATATGGTAGTACTTATTCATTCACCCAGGGTAGGGATCTTAGTGAGAAGACCAGGTGTGTCATTGCTCTCATGGATCTTGTATTTTACTGGGAGGAGGCACATATAAACAAGTAAACAGAATAATTACAGGTAGTGATAGCGTTGCAGTTAGCAGTTTCCCGTGATGAAGAGGCCACTGGTGTTTGGGAAATATCTGCTAGGTGGCTGGGAGGAACCATGGTGGGAGAGTGCCTTGCAAAGAGTGCGTGCATACATCTTTCAAAAAGGACACATCACTGGTACATATACACCATGGAATATTACTCAGCATTCAAAAAAGATAAACACATGCAATTTGCAGCAACACGGATGGCGCTGGAAGGAATCATGCTCAGCGAAATTAGCCAGAAAGAAAAAGAAAAATACTGGATGGTCTCACTCATAGCAGGAATCTAGAAAACTTAAATAAGGGACCAGGAAAATGAATAACTATAAGAAAGTGAAAATCAAATCAACAAAAAAGACTATGAACCAGAGACACTCTGGGGGGGTGGGGGGCGGGGAGGGGAGGGATTGGGGTCAAAATAAGGGGGTTGCAATTGTATGGGGACTATAAAAATAAAATTTATTTTAAAAAAATAAAACTTTAAATGTGAAAAAAAAAAAGTAAATAAGTGATGGGAAAAAAAAAAGGACACATTACGTGTTTCTTACATTTAGCTAGTTTCTGGTTCAACTATTTCAGACCCAGATGCAACACATGGCTTTTACTTTGTTATTTAGCCACCTAAGTTCAAAGACACTGTCAACAATAATGTTTTTCCTAGGGCATGAGTCATCATACCAAGCCACTTTCACAAGTTCTGTGTTTCCTTTTTCCCCTCCTTTTTATTTCACAGAATGAAATGGGGCCAAGAATCAAAGTAGCAATAGGTTTTCTGTGAAAAACTAGCTTTAGTAACCGGGGATGATACAGGCAGGGGGGAAAATGTAAGAAAACAGAGATGAGGCCCCAAAAGACAATTTCTGGTTGTAATAGCTGCTTTCTGTTTCATATCGCTGAACAAGATGAGAAAACGTTTCACAGGGCTTCATAGGAACGGCTTTCACGCTACCGAAGGATGACTTCACCCTCCGTGCCCTTTCCAGGTGCTTAGTTCCTGTGAAAACACAAGGTTGATTTTCAATATGAAACAAGCCTGAAATGTAGAATGACATTTTAGGTGACAGGGTGGTTCTATTGCCCCTAATTAGCACCTTTAACCTTTAGACTTGCCCATATCTTTTTCAGGCCATTGAAGCTCAAATCCGAAGTTTTGGTCAGACACCGTCTCAGCTACTCATAGAGCCCCATCCTCCTAGAGGTTCTGCCATGCAAGTGGTAAGTGCCTTCTCTTGCGCTCTGCTTTCACTTTGCTTTTACTTCTTACCTTTCTTTGAGACTATGCTGCACATGCATAAGTCTTTTACTCTATTTGAGATTCTCCACCAGATCTAGGCCTGTCCTTCCTGTGCCGTATCTGTTAACCCTCTGCCAACCTGCCGATATTATTACATGCTCTCCTGGTATCTTTTGGAAGGCAAGCATTGCTCTGGTGCACTCGCATTTCATCAGTTCATGTTTGTGTTGCAGAATTGAAAGGCTCATAGATACCAAGTAGCGTCACTATAGGATAAAAACTCCAGACACACACACTATGGATGTTGCACAGTTTGATCCTATATGTTTCTAGGTTAGTTTTACAGTTGTGTTTATCTTTTATACCTCGATGTTTTTCAGTTTGGAAATTTTAAAATCAATCCTGATACATAAGTTATTGTTTCTGAGGATAAGGAATCTCAGAGTGAAAAAAGAAGAAATGCCATAAAGCTTAGTGGCATAAAAACAATGATTTCCATTTCTTGTGATTCCGAGGGGTAGGCAGGAATTTTGTCTTCTCACTTCCGCATGCACATATGCTGCTATGGGATGGGCTGACAGGGCCAGACATCCCTTCCCTGGGGTCTTTCATCATTGAAGAAGCTATTAGTCCAGGCCACACCATGGTAGGAGCAGTGTTCCAAGAACACCTCTGCTCAACTTCTTGAAGTTCTTTCTGGTTAAAATAACTTAACCATTCTTTTTGGCTAAAATAACTTAAAAGCCAGCCCAGAATTGGGAGTCGGGAAATAGACAAGCTCCAAAATAATGTGGCTATTCCACTTTTACCGTTTCCTGAAATTTCACAGGGCAAATTCTTCAATCATGTTTTAAAAATTCACTATAGTAAAAATATTGAGTTTCATGCTAAAAATAATTTCATTAAAGAACAGATCATGGAGATTATATTTTTTCTTGAATTGTCTCTCAAACAGATTCCTTATTACTGTTTTAAAGTAAGGAAGAAGCATATATATAATCTGCTTCCATAAATACAGTGAATAATTTAAGGTATTTCCATGTTGTACCTTAGAGATGGTAGGATACTGACTTTCTGAGGAGAAAGTAGCAGCCAAGAGAGCAAGAGAGAGAGAGAAATGTAGCCCTTTTCTACCTCTGGCTCTTTTTTTCCCCTTTATCTTACCTTTGTGTCCTTTTGCCCTCTCTGTTGTCTTCTTTCTCCCAGCTTTTTCTTCCCCCTTCTTTAACCTGGGAGTTGTACATCATCATAAAACACAAGCATTTAAAGTATTATTTGCATCACCTTCTCCTCCAGGTGCTTTTTAAACAGGTGAAATCAGATTTGAGTGAACATAAAGGGTAACTTGTAGTAAGCAGAAGACTACACCAAAAACCCAACATATAGCAAGAACAATGGAAGATAATGCCATAAAAATAGTAAGAGTGATTTATGTTTGGGCTTTGGAATTACTTTTAGTAATAGCTTGTCAGCAAGACTCGGGCTGTTTGGTGCTGGCTAATGGAAGGTCCTCCTTTTTCCATTGATTTTCTACCTGGGTCACTGCACAGCCTTGGTTACTGGGGCAATGAGGGAGTTCCTGCTGCCCAGCCACCCTCAATGGCAAAGGATTATTGGTTCATCAAGAGAGAGCAGCTTTGTATCCCTAAGGTGGGAAAGCTAGGGCGGCACAAGCTCACACAATGGCCGGAGACCGTCTTTCCTTTAACATTATCCTTGGAATGGGATATCTGAACTCCTTTTCAGACTTAGGCAAATTCTGTTTTTCAGATTCACACATGTGGGTGGGCAAGAAAATCATGTTAAAAAGAAGCCAGAGATCAACAAGTGCACACTTCACCTGGGAAGACGAAATGAAATTTGGATAGTAGTTTCTTGCTTGTACGTTGGGCTTGGCTCACCAAAGCAGCCAGGGTCATTTCAGGGTCTGTTCAGTCCTTCTCCAGCTGCTGCCATCACCATTGGACAGACTGGCCCATACACTGGGGTGTGCCTTTTCTTATTTCTAGTGCTTTTCATTCTGTACTTATTAGCCTAGGATGTGGTGAAGTTCCCAAGAGGTTTCCTGCTATTTGCCTGCATTGAGAGCTGTAGTCAAGATGGAGTATGGAGGGACAGACGAAGGACAGCTTGTAAGAGTGCAGATAACATTCTGGACATAGTTTCTGTGGACAGTGGCTTGTCGTTGTCATTTGGCTAAGAATTCGCCCCTAGAGTCACTATGTAAACAAGACACTCTTCCTAAACAGAGTTTCTGTGTTTTTTTTTAAGGCATAAACATTGGAATTATTCAATTTGAGTCTAATTGTATTTATAATATTAGTGTTTAAGCTCAACAATGTGTATGAGCTTCCTTTTAGTGAGACTTTATGATGTACGTTATACTCAGATTTTCTCAAAGTTTATAAATAGACTTTAGTAAATATTATTTGAACTATGTAACTGAAAAATAAGTCTTGATATTCTGAAATGACATTCATTTCCATTTCCCAAAAGTTCTTCAAAGTTAGCTTATAGTGTGTTTGTTCTTTGTTTCTCATTTTTATGCAGTTTCACAGAATTCCTTAAAACTATCTGTAAAAGGTTCTTGGTATGATGAAAATTACTTACTGATACCAGAGGTTTTAAAAATCAAAGACCCAGATGTTTATTAATTGTTTTTACTAACATTCAGATGAGTTCTCCCACCAACCATCAACACATACACACATGCGCGTGCGCGCGCGGCTATAGCAGGAATTAAAGCCACCTCGTGCTGCGTTAAGTGCATGAGCCATAATATACACCAGGTGTAGTAATTAGCAGGCACACGAAGGCTGCCTATTTGTCTGGTTTTGCTGCTGTTGCTGTATCCCCCTGTGTTTTCACACCATCAGATAGTTGGATTTAATTGAGGCCACATCAGATGAGGCATTACTGACACCTTTAATTGAATGAGCATCCAGGGAGGATTAACTCATAATATTGATTGGCTTTTAGCCACTTGCTCAGAAGGGTGTCTGGGTAGCTTATTAGTTGCCTTTATTTACACCTTTATGCAAAGAGTGCAAATAGAAATTCTTAGTGCAATATGTTTTTCTAAGTACTCTTAATAACTTTTTTAAAAGGACTGATAATAAAAATGCAAATGTATTTAATTTTTTATTAGCAGTTCGAATAAATATGTGTTTAATATATGTGCCTACACATTTACATATACCTGGTGTTTTGAAATATGGCAACAGGAAAGCAGCCAGAAGCACTTCATCAAAGTGTTTCCATTCTGAATGATACTAATCAGCTAGAAAATAGACATGGTAGAAGAGAATTGCTGAAAATGTACAGTGCAATTACTGTATGATAGCATACTACCACAAAGTATAAATAAAGGCAGTAAATCAGAGTGGTGTTCTGTATGTCTTGAATTATGACATACAGGTTGTAGGAATGTTCTAAATCTTTAGTAGACTTCAAGATTTATTTTGTTGCTAGTTATTAGAACAGTGTTTTGTTTAACATTTTCAATTACCTTCTGCTTTTCAAAGAAGAAATCAGAAGTTTGAGCTTTCTTTTTTTTTTCCAAGAGGGAGGAAAGAAATCTGGGTTTTTCCTCAGCTACAGTAAAAAGCGGTGGCATTTGCATTATAATAGGGCAGTATTTATGACTTGGTACACTATATAAATATATTGTTTTTACAAGTACATTTAATTATCCATTGCTTTGAAACACCTTTATAATTAAGTTTGTATATTACGTCCATAAGTTATTTCTCTACTGTAATAATGCAAGCATGTGTATAGCTTTTGTTTATAAATATATTTGTTTTAATCATCTTTTTATTTAGTTGTCAAAATCTTCATGCTAATTCAACAACTTTTGATGATCTTTGGAAATTACCTTGGCTTGCTGTCGTGCCTATTGCTAACTTTTGTTCCTTTTTTGGTAACTAACACATAATAGCAATTCGAATGGTTTAATACAATCTCAATACTTTGCTTATTTAGAATCTAATTCAAATCATTCTTTTAGTTCTTCATGGGAGTGGAATGGGGATGGGAACTAATAAAATATATGGATTTTTAAGGTGTTTCTGTTGTAGTCCACTTTGATCACCAAACAATTCACCTAAAGTTGTACATGAAAAACAAAGAAATCCTAATTGCTGCTTCTATAAGCCATTCTGCTTGCTGTTTTCTCACTGCAACTTGTGTTAACATGGTCTTCCTCTTCTTTTCTTGCACCCTCTCTTTCTTGTCTTTTTTTGTCTTTTCCTTGTATATTTGGGTCTTGTCATTCCCACTCAACAGTATCTCCTCCTGCAGAGTCCATTGATGTTCACAGACCAAGCCCAGCAGGATGTTATCATGGTCCTAAAGTTCCCCTCCAACTCTCCTGTCACTCATGTGGCAGCCAACACCCAGCCTGGTCTGGCCACACCCGCTGTGATCACAGTCACTGCTAACAGGCTTTTCGCTGTGAATAAGTGGCACAACCTTCCCGGTAAGTAAGACAGGAAATATTTTAAGACTGAACACTGCATAGAGATTTTATTATAGCCACTTACATATATTATATCTCAGCATTTAAGCTTTTAATTAGTCTGAGTCAAAATGTTTGCAAGTTTGAAAGATTTAAAGAAGTCCCATCTGAGGCATATAGCACAAATGTTAAAACATAAAGACTACTCTATTGCATCTCATGGATAGTCTTTATTTCTTAGCAATAAACATTATTTCTAATATAAATTTTAAATATGATATTCCATAGTCTTCCATAAATAATGTGTATTTATCAGCTATTTCCCTTTTTTCCACTTTCTCATTCATCTGTTTATTAAACACCAAGAGTTTTCTACTATGAGCTTTTTTTATGCATGACATGGTAAGATTCTACAAACAAAATTGTACAGCCCCCTAGGTACATTCTAATCTATTAAATGCCGAATAGTTTTGGTAGCTAATGGCAAGATACTGAAGTAACCATTTCAATCATAAAACCACCAAAGTTTGAAGAGATGTGATAGTTCATGTAGTCCATCCCCACATTTTATCAGGGAAGACACTGAGCCCAGGGAATGTATTCAACATCCTAAATGGCCAGTCAGTGGCAGAGACAGGTTTGAACCCAAGTTTTCTAACTCAGATTTTATCACTCACTGAAGTGCCCATCATGAAGAATCTGTGATTGGTATCAGAATTTGTATCAGATCTAACCATTTTCCTGGCCATTAGAAATAAAATTATGGCCAACATTTATTAGAGAATGGATTTCAGAAAAAGTAGAAAAGGTAAAAATTAAAGTAGGCATATATTGTCACTATTAAGTCCTTTTCCTCCTTTTTCTTCACATGAACTTATCTTAGAGGTAAATGGATAAGCAAATAGCATGCTTACATTTGGAGACACAGGTTATAATTTAAGAGATGTGGTTTTTGAGTCCTCTAAATACTACTCATTAGAAGGAAAGCATGCTGGTGGTTTCACTTAATCTGTGTGCAGTTACTTTCCAAGCTTAGCAAAAGCACCAGTAGGTGTGACATCAGGGCCATCATGTGAGGAAAGACAAACCTTCCAACTGCTAGAAAGCCCTGGCCACCCTCCGCCCTCTGTCCTCAGTTTAGCCTATCAAAGAGCTAGCTCAGCAGGAACTGAGTTGGCTCAATCTGAGGGCTCCTCAGTCTCCAGATGATACTTAGTTTGTTAGAGACACACCCTAGGTACTGATAACTGCTCCTGGCACCTCCCCCCCAACCCCCCTTAGACCCAACCTGCTTCCCTGACCAAAGAGCTTGCTTGCTTTACTATTTGGTTGTCAGGCATTATTTTCCTACTTCTAGGTTTTTTACCGATAAGTAATTTAGTAAATGTCCCTCTGCTAGAGCACCACTATGAAGCCTCCAGCTTCCCCAGCTCACGTTCACCTTTTTGTGAGACAGGAGCTTGAGGGACTGCTTTCATTCTGACAATTCTTGGCCTGTAATTCTCCCCAGTGTGACTTCTTTGCGTTTGTATCTGTGTCAGTAGTAGTTTTTGTCCCCACCCTCTGGCCTGGCACACGAATCTTGACCGGATAAGCACAAAGAATGATAACATATGGTAATACACCGATGGTTATCTTTCTACTATGTGATTTCCGATTCTGAGCTATACCTATACCTAAAAATATAAAGCATCCATTTTATTAAGTCTGTGCCTCATTTTAGCCAAGTTTATATAAATCTGATCTCTCTTCCTGTCTTGTGTTACCTTTGCTTGTCAGGATGTCTTGATTTAAAACGAAGATCAAAAACACCTAACAGTTTTTCATCAATAAATATAAAATTCCTGTTATAGTAAATTTTTTAAAATTTAGTTTCTGTTTTTTTTTTCCTAAGAATCCACAGCTTCCCTAACTTTTGATGAGACAGACAACTCTCACCATTTCTTTTAGTAGTGCCCAAGTCCTGATTTAGAAAAGAAAATCATCTTAATCTTTCCTTCTACAAGAATGTCTTGTAGAATTTCTGAAAAAATAAGATAATAGCAGTGTTTATAGAGCATGTTTTATGTCCTAAATACTGTTTTTTAAAAAAATATTTATGCATGCAAGAACTGGGGTACAGGCCAGAGGTGTGTTGGGGGGGGTGAGAGGATACACCAGAGATGGAGTGGGGAGCACAACAGGCAGACTGACTGAAATACATTGTTGAGAGAAGCAGCGGGCGAGTCAGGAGAGATCGGCTATGCCATGTGGGTAGCTCCCTGGCCGGGGATCGAACTGATGCTGCCGTGGCTGCAGATAGCTTTGTAGGTTGCGTCTTAACCCCTTGCACCACCAGGGAGGCCCTGTCCTAAATACTGCTTTAATCACTTTATGTGTATTAACTCACCTAATTCCCTTAGGATGCAGGCTCATGAACCATATGAAATTACCATTTTTATAGCTCAAAATGTCAGGTATTAACGTTTTTCATATCTTTCAGCCTAAGCCATCTAATCCATTTTACAGATCAAGGGCCTGAAATACAGAGACTACATAACTTAGTGTCACACAGGCATTCAGTGGCAGAACTAGGATTTGAGACATTACCATAGAGAGTTAACCTCCTAAACCTCTTTCATTGACAATTTGGTTTTAATGTTTCTATGATCCCAGATTCTCAGAGAAGTAAAGGTAAATTCTCCAGGTATTACAGTGTTAATTGGCGCTGGCTTTACTGGAAGTAAATGGCACTGTGGGGTAAATGAGAGGCCATGGTACATTTTCCCTCACCATTTCCTGTACCTGCCCTGTGATATCTTTACTGGTAGAGACAGTAACCGGCAAAGACAATGCCTTCAGTGAAAAAGAGTGAGCCATACAGCTTCCTTCCTTCAGCCACCTTAATTTCTTAAACACGCCCAAGTGTAATTTCTAATGCTAATATTGCAGTTATTCAGGTATTTTTATTAGAATGAATGATCTTCCGAACATCCTTAAAATCTTGGTATTTAATAATGGGAAGTGGTGACTTAATAAGTTTTAAAATAATCTCCTAAGTTTTAAAATAATCTCCCTTCAGGACAGTAAAAAAGAGTTCCTAAAACCTGATAATACTAAGTAGAGTACTAATACTGACCAGTATTTTAAATGCTTAGGAGCCTACAAAAGGCAGATACTTACCAGGCTGATGTATAGCTGAGTCATTTGGAAGGGGGCACAGAATTTAACTGACAGAATCACAAAGCTGGAAATATCACCTATTCCAAAGCCTTCACTTTCAGGTTTGTGAGATAGCTTGTGGCAGCTCCCACTTCCTAATACAGTTCTTCACCTCCTTGAGTCCTTCCACTTTTACAGGGAGACAGCCTATGAAGTCTCTCTTCAATTACAAAATAAATATGCTTGAATCTTTAGAAATGTTTTGAGAATAGAACAAACTATTCTTAGTATAGATTGATTTTTGCTACTCATTTCCTTCTTGGGGTATTTCAAATACTCTGGAAAATGGAAGCCATGGAAATGTTAGATATTAATAAAAACTTTAAAAAAAAAAAAAAAACCTCAATCCAGTCTTTCAGAAAATGTTTCAGCCAGATGCACTTAACTAAAACATTTATCTACGGATAGCTTTCTTTATTTTTATTCAAACTTTCAATTGATTGGTTTTAAGTGATGGATGAAACACTAAATGTTCCCTGACTTAGAGCTTTCCCTTTCTCCATCATAAATTGACGTTTTTGTGGATCCTTTGTGCTGCAGCACTCAAAACTGCCTTTTTAAGAAGTAACAAAAAAATAGTATTTGCTACAGTCAGCAGATGGTTGTCACATTGTGTTTTCAGCGCGCTTTACCACTTAATTTTGTTTTGTTGCAGCATCAGAGGTTGCCAGTCAAGCATCTGCTATAGCTTATGGCCTAGGACTGGAGCCACTGCTGATGGCACATGTTCAGAACAGCACTAATCTAAAATAAATGTTTAATAAGCTAGCCATAAAAGCACCTGGATTTTTTTCCCCCTTAAATTTCACAAAACTGTATGAGGGATTTGGAGGTTGGAAACAATTCTACATAAGATTTGACTTAGGCATTTTTATGTAGTTTGCTATATGAAAAATAATGCTTTTTATCCCCCCATCTTTTGTGAATTCTAGCTCATCAAGGTGCTGTACAAGACCAGCCATACCAGCTGCCAGTGGAAATCGATCCTCTCATAGGTCTGTCACTTCCTTCTCTCTTTGCGATTCATTAAGCTCTGTATGGTGGCCCTGAAGTGTAGATTACAGTTGTTTTTCACTTGCTGGTTGCTGGGAATGGAATTTTCCTGATAAACCATTTGCATGCAAATTGGAATGCAATGAGCTGTGGCTATGCTGGTATTTCATCAACTCCCCCTCGTTGGTTTGCCTAATTTGAACAGGCCTAGGACGCGTGTCACTGAAAATTAATATGGATGCTGTAATAATATGTGATTGAGAATGCGCATGAAGTACTGTCAGGATAATATTGGATCTTTTCATCACTCAGACTTGTTGATGAGCAGGAGCGAGGCACGTTATGATGAATTGGTGCACCGGTAATGTGATGGAGCTCCTTTGCTAGGGAAATTTTCATAATAACAGTGGGGTTCTTAGCAGCCCTGTGTTGTGAAAAATAAAACTGTAGTGCCAGGGTTTCATCATTAAAGGAGATCAATCCTTTCTTCCTGGACCCTCTGTTCAATCTGAGGGGATTAATGTGCAATTGCAGAGCAGTTTCAGAGTTGAAATATATTGCCCAGCCAATGGCAGTGTTAGGATATTTGTATTCATTTTCCTGGGGTCCTAGAGCCCAATAAATTGCCATTGGAGGTTAAATTTGTTGGGGGGGGGGCGGAGGAGGAGACCAGAAAGAGCCATTGGAATGAAATGAGCATCTGCAGCAGATGACTTCCAATATTTAATTGCTGTTATGCTTTTTGAGTAGGTTAGGTGAAATCTCTAGTTTAACATTTTTCATCCATGTGGGGAAGGAATTAAAATGTGACTTCACTAAAAATGTTAAGCCTTGATGTTAAAGATGATATTCAATAACTTTCAGACTGAAAACCTTAATTGCCTTGCCATAGGAATATGCTGCCAGTGTGAATATCCGAGTCTTGTCAGATTTCCTTGGCATAAATATATTTGTTAGAACATTAAAGCTTTTAAATAAAACATGTAAATAAGCTGATTTACTATTTTAAAAGTTTGTTCTGTATATATCACCTTTTTTGGTCTTTAAAACCATGGAGAACTAAACAGCTACCATTTGCATATGAACTATCAGGATGACTAAAATAATCTTAAATTCAACTAATCCATTGATCATTTCCCTTATAGAAGCAGAAATCTAAGACGTAACAATCTATATGAAAAATATACCATTCTGAGTCCTAAATCTTGTTTTGCTTTGATTTGCCACATATTGAAAAAAATATTAAATGCTCACTTGGTTAAAGTTTCAAAAGTCAGGAAAATACTAAAATCATTTGCTAAGTCATATAAAACATTGTTTCTGAAGTCTGACCTAAAACTCGACAATGCATATCCTATGGTGTAAAGTCTGTTTAAATAATTTTACAGTAGTAACCCTTTAGACCAGACATGGGTAAACTTTTTTTGGTAAGGGATCAGGTAGTAAATATTTTAGGCTATGTGGGCCATAAAGTTGCAACTATTTACCTCTGCTGTTACAGCACAAAAGCGGCCTAAGACAGCATATAAACAAGTGGGCATTGCTGTGTTCCAATAAAACTTTGTATGCAAAGCCTGGCATAGGCCAGATTTGGTCTTTAGGGCATAGTTATCTTCCCTGCTTTGGGTCACTAGTTGTTAGATTGTTTTCTCCTCTATCCCCTGCAATAATTATTTAAAACCATGCACCTGCTCATACCTTTTTAGGTTGACATCTAAAATTTTTCATTGCAATTTTAACTAATGGCAAAGGTTATAATTTTTGCCATAGTATATAAAATTCTAAATATATCAAATGGAATTTAAATATCAAAGTGAGTGAGTTGCTACTCAACGTTTTGTTTTCAGAATATACAACACAGAAGAGTTAAAATTTTTATATTAATCATTTTTCATTTTGAATTTATACTTTTCATTCTATTTCCTGTGTACAATTTTATTTTAGTTTTTGAAAATTAATGATACCATTATAGTTTATAGCAATAAAAATATATACAGAAAGTTAGATATATGCATATAAATTTGTTAGGATTCCCTATGACAACAGAGCTCAGATTTTTAAAAACAAATCTCCATTGAGTTGTCATTAAGATATTACTGATACTAATTATAAATTATAAATTTTATTAAACATAAAAAAACACATCTATTATGAAACAGGTCTTTTACCCCTAATAGCCATACCTTTATGGATAAAAATTGTTACTGAACGAAACATAATTTGTCAACAATTCTCTCTCATTTTGAATAAATGGAAGCTCTGAGGGTTGCTATTCATACATGAAATACATGGGAAAAGAAAGAGTTGTGTTTAACAATGCCACTCAAATCTTTGAACTCTGAGTAATGTGACAAAATTCATATAGTAATCTATTATTAAGAGCTATTTTTATAGTCTATCATTAAATGATCTCTTTAACCATCTATCACTGAAACTTATTTTTAATGATCTATCAATTGACAGCATGATTAGATCTTTCTACCATTTATTGAAAGCAGTGAATTGGAAACCACCTGTCCTGCAGAATGATTTGGTACTGAGGCATTCACTTTTCAGCATCACATCAGTAGTTTGAATTGTCCCTTTATTTAGCTCTCAAGAGGTTTTTTTATTACCTGGGTAAAATACCACAGTAAGAGTCTAGATCTAAAAGATATATGCCTTTATTTTATCTAGTGGAAGAAGAACATTCAAAAGGGGAGGTAAGGAAGGAAAACTCAGAATTCTCAGATGAATCTGTTTCAAGCAAGAGAACACAGGAAAGTTGAAGAAATAGAAATTGATTTGCTTAAAACCATCTGTGCCTGTGAATCCCATGGGAAATCTCACACACCCGTGCACCTTCCATTCCAGCCCCAGGTCTGCATGCCCTGAGTTGAAGACTTCTGATCTAAACAAATACACCTAATTCATTAAATAAAAATACTTTCAGTAATCCTCTCAAGAGGGTTATTAAAGAAAACAGTTGAGATAAAGGGAAAGGCATTTATGAGGTAGAGAAGTTATATGGATTGGGATGGATGGATGGATGGATGGATGGATGGATGGATGGATGGATGGATGGATTTGAGAGAGGGTTTATAATTAAGCACTTGGTAAATAGTTCACCTTAGTGTTGAAGGGGCATCAGTCTTATCCAGGGGTATTCTGTGGTCACTTAATTCAAAATTGTACATGGACCCAGATCTGTCAAGCTAGGTCCTTCAAAGAGATCACATCAAAAACAATAATAAACAAAAGCCACAAAAAAAACAAACAAAAAACCCAGCTAAAGTCATGTAGACACTGATAAAAGTAGACATTTTTTACAATTTTCTTCAGTAATGTACTTACAATTATAGTAACTGGTATAGAAAGTACTAACTGTCCTCTTTTTAATTACCAGGTTTCTAGTATTAAGAAAACTATATTGTATCACTCTGCTTCACAGCAGCGGGATACTAGTGGTCTCTGTGATATGCTATAGAAGGGGATAAAGGGGCATGATCCCCGACTAGAATTTTGCCCTTTTTACTGCTGCTATAATTTTCTAGTTCATTAATCTCCCCCAGAATATGTGAAATCTACTGTTAAACAGTTGCTTATCATCTACTTGGTTAAATTGTAAGGTCAGACTCTCGCAGAATTTTGCAGTATGCCACATGTTGCTATATATATATATATATATATATATATATATATATACCAGAGGGCAGGGGAATTGATTCCTCTGCATCCCAACTGGGTTCCAGCACAACACTGGAGAGTACTTTGAGTACTTTTTTCTTCTGTATTACTCTCTGAGACTTCCATTACATTGGGCGCGTTAATTTAGTTATTAAGTATAATGAATATAAATTTTTTTTCTGCTTTATCAAGAGCACCTTTGTAGTTGTTTTCTTCCCCACCAAAAGCTAAAGAAATGGTGCAAGGACTGTAATAATCAGAAGCAGAACTTGGTTTTATTTTTCCTTGTAAAATTCTTGTTTTATCTAATATAATCAGATTTATTTAGCAATGTTAGAATCATCATTTGCATGGGAAAGCTGGTGGCAAAATCATTCTTAGATGATAAGAAACTAAGCTTTATATTTGGCTGGCCATGTGCCAAATAAAGGCATCTCAGTGAACATTCCTTTTCTAATAATGACATACTTGATAGTGTATTTCTACAGGATTATTACTCCTCCCAGGTGCTTGATGTCCCTCCATGTCTGACCTTGTGCCTGGTGACAGACCCCATCTTAGGTGCTCGTAGCACTGTGAGAACACACTGCCAGCCTGTCTTGTTTAATTGCTTACATAAAGAGTAAGGACGTGGCAGTGTGCTGTGCTTTGACTTTTTCAGTTACGAGTATCTTTAATAAATAGTCACTCTATCTTTTCCTTACATGCAAGTGCAGCTGTAAACAGGGAAATGGGAGTTCACATCTAGTCAAATTAAAGATGCGTAAAAGCCAAAGTGGTACACGATGCTACAGTATTTCAGATATATGACATTTAAATTCTGATAGCTCTTTCCTGTGACAAAAAGTTAAAGTAATAGATCGTCACAACATGAATCCATTCTCATGACAATAGATGTAATGAGATTGTCAGAAACACAGACCTAACTGTGATGCAATCAGGAGATTGTAATCTAGTTTGGTCTACTATCCAAGAGCTAGCAATGCTGTTCTGAGAATTGTATACTTTTTTCAAATTGTAGTATATGATTATTATTTCTTTGCTCCAGGCAAAAAATCATACTAAGACACTGAATTGAGCTACCCACATTCTTCAAACAATCAGGTGTTTTTTTTTCTATTTGTTTTTTCAAATATTGTTTATTTAAATTAAAGATCACCTTTTTTTATTTTTAAAGATTTATTTATTTTATTTATACAAGCACTGGTTACAGTCAGAAGCGCAGGAGGGTGAGAGAATTCACCAGAGCCAGAGCGGGGAACAGAACAGGCAGACTGATGAAATACACTGCTGAGGGGAGCAGTGGGCACGGCAGGAGAGGTCTGCGCACCATGTGGGACCCTCGCTGGTGGCCGGAGATCGAACCGAGATCGAACCGACGCTGCAGAGGCTGCGGGCAGCTTCGCAGTCCAGCGCTCAACCGCTGCGCCACCAGGGGAGGCCCAAGATCACATATTTGTACCCTGGAATGTGTTGCCTCTCTTCCCTAACCCCTATCCCCGTTATGACAAACTATGGGATTTCTTTATGTATGTTGATTTATTGGTTTCTTTTTTTCCTTCCTCTATTCCCACAGCCAGCAATACAGGAATGCACAGGAGGCAAATCACTGACCTTTTAGACCAAAGTATTCAAGTCCATTCCCAGTGCTTTGTCATCACTTCAGACAACCGCTATATTCTTATTTGTGGCTTCTGGGATAAGAGTTTCCGAGTCTATTCTACAGACACAGGTAACTGTTATTTTCTTCTCAGTGAACTGAAGTTTACTACAAATAGCACTGAGAAACTTAGAATGTCTTTCATCTTCCTTCCAAAATGATAGGATTCTAAATTTTTTAAATAGGAAAAAGATACAGTTTTCCCCTTTGAACTAATAATCTACTAATATAATCCTCTGTTACGTTAACTTCAGCATGTTTTGAAGAGGTAGTTTTTTATTGTAGGTTTGTCTTCAAGCCTCATGCTTGCAGAATGACTCATTTTGAAGGCATATCTTGCTATTTAAATACCACATGCCCATGTATATGTATAATCTAATGGCAGGTGCACATACATAGAGGTGTATTTTCCCACTCCTGTATTATTTAAAAGATTTTTTTCCCTCACTGGATATTCTCATTAACTGTATTTCTTGGTAGTTGATATCTTGCCTCCACCCAATTCTGCAAAGAATCTTGCTGAAAGCTACACTATCATGAAGAAAAGTAGCTGACTACTGATTTTATGTGTGACAGGAGCTCTTGTTAAAATATAAAAGTTTAAACCTATATACTCATTTGCATTCATCTCCCTAAGGGACAAACCAAGTTTAACTCAGTATTATTAGAGAAGATCCAATCCAGTAAATGTATATAAATTTTTGCGTACATGATATTAAGAAACAGTGAAAAATTTAGAAGTCTCTCTTAAGTATTTTGGAAACTGCTCATGGATAAAGTATAGTAAATCTGAAGTTGAATATTTAAAAAAATAAAAATTAGATAATTGATTTTAACTCAGTGCAAAAGTAGATATTTCAACTAAAACAGGGTCTATAAATTTCTTATTTAAATGTTGTGGAAATAGGAAATTCTTTTAAATTGAAATTTGTAGATAATTAAATGTTTTATGGTAAGTCATCTTTCAGTTTTATTAATCTTTATAAAATGTATGAGTCCAATGCTTCCATTTCAGTAACTACAAGATATTGAAAAATTAATTGTTGGTTAGTCAAGGAGATTGTCATAAGTGTATTTTGATGATAGTATTGTAAAATAGCTATGAGAGAGTAGGGGCAAATAGTCGAAGAATATGTACCTTTCATAGAATAAGCCCTAGACGTGTTTAGATGTGCTCTTATTAATTTTTTGTTTTATGGAAAAAATGATCTAGCTTTCTTATAATTTTCACCTCTGTAGCTCCAAAAAAAAAAGCATCATTCAAGGCTTTCTGATTAATTGGGATCTTACTACATATTTAGCTCTATGAGGTTAATTGCTTTGGAACTTTAAACTCCTCTAGCATCATTCAGAATACAGTGGGGATTGATGAGCTTTCATAAAATGTATTTATCATTATAATGAATTTTGTGATTTAGCAATCAAATTTGAATTTAATCTTTTCTTTCAATATACAATAATATCAGCATTTGCATTATTTGACCTCAAATTGTGCTCCCTTTTGCCCTCTTTCACATCATAATTTTTTACATCCTCTCACATGATTTCTTTAAACATTCTTTTATATCATATATTGTTTTTTATGCTTTTAAAAAATTATTGTTATACTTTTTTAAAGATTTATTTATGCACACAAGCACTGGGATATAGGCCAGAGATTGGGGGGGGTGTGTGTGAGAGAGGATTCACCAGAGACAGAGTGGGGAACAGAACAGGCAGATCGACCAAAACACACTGCTGAGGGGAGAAGCGGGCAAGTCAGGAGAGGTCTGCTGCGCCATGTGGGTAGCTCCCTGGCCGGGAATCAAACGTGTGCTATAGTGGCTGCGGATCGCCTCCTAGGCTGCGTCTTAACCCCCTTGCCACCAGGGAGGCCCAATTATTGTTAAATGTACATATAATAAAATTTTGTGGTTACAATTTGTGAGTTTTGGCAATGTATATGGCCATGTGATCAACTAAATTGAGGTGTAGAGCACCTCTGTCACCCCCCCAAAGTTTCCTGTGTCTCCCCTTTAAAGTCAATTTTTTTTTTAAATGCTTTTGTTTATATATTCTTGTCGTTCATTTTTGTACAATGCTCGAGTTTTCCATTCAGATGTAATCCCCATAAAATTCCCACCACCAAGTTACTCATGAACCGTCATGATAGTCAATTTCTTGCCCCACCTCAACCTTCTCACGACCACTCTGTAATTTAACCTTCTCCAGAATGTCATATAAATGGAACCATGTATTATGTCAATTGTTGATTTGAGGTTTTTTTAGTTTGTTGATGTTCTATCTCTTTTTAAAATGGCATTGAATATTAATTTTGTAAAGTAAGACTAATCTCACTTTTTTTTTTTTATTTTTTTTTATTTATTTTTTTTTTTTTTATAGAGGCATGCTTTATTTATTTGTTTGCTGGTTTGTTTGTTTGTTTTTTTGTTTATACATGCACTGGGTACAGTCAGAAGCGCGGGAGGGTGAGAGAATTCACCAGAGCCAGAGCGGGGAGCAGAACAGGCAGAAGGACCGAAGTACACTGCTGAGGGGAGCAGCGGGCGGCAGGAGAGGTCTGCGCGCCATGTGGGACCCTCCTCTGGTGGCCGGGGAGCAGCCGGGGATCGAACCGGTGCCGCAGAGGCCGCGGGCAGCTTCGCAACCCAGCGCTCAACCGCTGCGCCACCGGGGAGGCCCAAGACTAATCTCACTTTTATATAGTACTAATAATTAAAATAATTCTTAAGTTTACACAGTTATTTAAATTACATTATTCCTTCCCATACACGATATTGCATTAGCCTCACAATAATCTGTGAAACAGACAGAACAGAGGTCCTGATCCCCAATTTTCACATGAAACTTAGCAGCTACCTAAAGGTTAAGCAACTTGTTGAAATATTTTGAGTAATTTAGAAGAAAGTATTCTGACTTCATATGTAGTGTTATTAACGATTATACCATGTTATCTTACGTAGGTATTGTCTGTCAATCATGGGTTAATTTGGAAAATGCTGTAATTTAGAACATGAAGTTCTGGTGTATCTGCCATACTGCATTAGATTTAATAAACTAGATAACATCTCTTCTCTTTCCAAAACCATCTTTTATACTGCTTAGGAAGTACTTTCTTTTAACTTCATTTTAGTAAGGCTGATTAATCAGCTTATACAATAAAATATTTACATTTGCCAGGAAAGTTGGGGAAAGCATGTCAAACAATAGTCCTAAGATCTTTCTTAATATTTTATATGCAAACTCTGATGATAGTTTTATTTAACATAATTTTAGTTAGTGTAAGTATATTTGAATTTTTTGACAATAGAAATACTTAAATACCATTTCCTAAGTTTGACAGAGAGGCAAAGGGAACAGTGTATGATCAATAATATATAATAGCAAAGCTATCACAGGTGTTGAATTCAATTATATTTTAGTGCATAAGCCAAAAAAAAAACTATCCTTCTCTTATTAGATTTGGGGAGGGGAGAAGAGAAAAACACGGTTGTAACTGGAAATTCTTTAAACATAAATCATGTTTTCGGGACACAACCAGAACAGCAGAGGCAACAATAAAACCTTCCCTCAGCAGTGGGAATTATTTTCAAGCCACATTTTAGATTCAGTGGTGTAGAGTCCTGAGCTTGATTTTTTTTTTTTATTTGTAGCACAGCTGTCAAATAAAACATTAACTAGAAATTTGTTCTGTCAAAAAAGGGATATTCTAGTGCTTGTGGTAATATTTGATATTAGTGTGCGGAGAGGTGGGCTGGTATTAAAGGAAACAAAAAAAAAAAGGTTGAAGAACACTTAATGAGATTATCAGAAAATAATTTACCAAAAAGAGCAGCAGGTGTTTATATGCTATGATTTACTTAGGAAGAGTGAACCTCAACCTCATAGCAGCAACAGAGACTGCTTGGGAAGGCTGCTAGACCAGGAAAAAGTACTCTTAAAAAGATACTGTTTTCCAGAGTTGAGCCCAAAGTATAAATCATAGCAGATACCATTAATTTGTATTAAAACAAGAACCCCTTTAGATATTGGTAATTAAAGGTCACTATCATTTCCATCTTCCCTGACACTACCCTCTTTTTCTCACTGGTCCTACCTTGTTCTCTTCTTTTATAACACTTACCACTCTTCGTAATCACATCTCTGCCATGGCTGTTCAATGTCTATCTTCTCCACCCGACAGTAAATACTACCAGGGCAAGGACCACGTCTGTTTGTTTACCACTGTGTACATGGAAGGAAGCCAACTACCTGGCACTTCGTGCCTTCTCAGTAAATGTTTCTTTAATGAAAAATAAGTGTGATGACTTTTTAGGCAAAAGTTAAAACACTAGGAAATTTTAATTAGTTAATAAACCACTTTTCCTAACACTGACATAGGTACAGAGTGATCACTTGGAAAAATCTGCCAGTGTATTGAATCTATCCTGCCTTTGCAGTGAAAGCTTCCCCATTGTGTCCTCGAGTGGGAAAGTAAGCAAGTTACCAAAGGACAGCTGCTCTTTCGCAAGCCTTTTGGTGCAGAGCGCTTGGGTTTCTCTGTGCTGGGCACCTCTGGTACCGAGCTAGTGGAGGTGACTTCACCTCCTCCTCATTCCTGCAACCCACGGAGTTGAGAGGTGTCAGGTCTTAAATAACCCTACTCCAGATAACCTATAGTTGACATGCTCTTAGCATTCAGGTATAAGCAGAGGTAGAAGTCACTTCAAATACTTGGTGATCAAAAACATTATGGTTTGCTCAGTTTCTATCAATAGTAAAAATTCTCTGGTCTTCCATTTTCTAATTTAGTAATGAGTGTATTCAGCTACCTAACGTTTGTCTTTTCCCTTGTAAGGTCTCTAACCTGACCCAATCCATTTCACCACTAATCCATGTAAATTGGAAATGAAGTGAAAATAATTAATTGTTTCATATTTAATTTACTTTTTCTTTTCCTTTTTTTCTAGAAAGCCCAAAATTATTTTTACTGTAAGCTTTATTGATCAGAGTTACTTTTTGAAATGAAATGTTTTGATGTCGATTTTAAAGGGTGAAGAAATTCAGATGTACACCTTTTTAGCAAGTAAAACATGGGCTTTGACTGAGTTTTTTTTCACAGGGGAAAGAGATACATTTTAGTAATTTTGCAATTTGAGATCAAAATGAACCTAATTTTAAAGTTATTAATAGTAGGCTATATGTAAGAATGAAAACACTGTATCTGATTTTCCATCTGATTTTATTTCTACATTTGAAGTATCTGTAATGAAGTTCAGGTTTATTAAAATCAAGATTTTTAAAATTGTAAATACATTATTAGTTACATTTATTGATATCTCAAAAAGCTAAAATACACTTAGATGCCAATATTTCATTGCGTTTTTTAGCTTTGGACTAGGTAATGTTTTGTTCCAAGTTGAACACATACATTTTTAAGGGATATTAACCTTTTTTTTTTTCCAGCTTGGTGATCTTTTTTCTTAAACATTTGAATTAAACTTTTATCACTCCACTAAAAATCTTATTTTAGAAAAAAACTTCATGCTGAACTTTAGGGTAGACTGACATTTGTAGATTCAGTAGCCATTTCAAAGAAAAGTTTTAGTTAGAAACTAGGAATACCTAATTTGTAGACACATTTGTGTGAATTATAAACACTGTATTTAATTAAGTCAAGATTCTGAAAGGTAGGGGCTTTACTTTTTCCCTGACAGGTATGTGAATAATTCATCCAGTGTTTGAACCATAGATACATAGTAAGCTTCCCACCATTTCTAGTCATTATTGTTAAATAAGTTGCCATGATCTTAATTTCATCATCACCTCCTGAGGAATTTTCATTCAGAAAATTCAAACAGAAAAAGAGCTGGTTCAAATTGCATCCACAATAAACTAGACCTTTCATCAAAACTTAGTTTATCTAATTCTGAGCTCTTCTAAGTGACTTATATTATTCTTATATAGAGCACTTAAAAGGAAGAAATACATATGCCTTTCAAAATGTTGTCACTGTTCAATTGACTTTGTATTTTTCAAAGAAGAAAATTTAGGTTGAACTGTATCAAATTTTATTACAAAATCTGAATTAATACAGCTTCATTGTTTTATACATTAGATATTAATCACTAGAAATTTGTCTGATTTTTTTTTTTAATGTTAATTTAAAAAAATTGCTCTTTTTTCAGGAAAATTGGTCCAAGTGGTGTTTGGCCATTGGGATGTTGTAACTTGCCTCACTCGTTCTGAATCATATATTGGGGGAAATTGCTACATTCTCTCAGGGTCACGTGATGCAACCCTTCTGCTCTGGTACTGGAATGGAAAAAGCAGTGGGATTGGAGATAACCCAGGCAGTAAGTACAACTTAAAAGTAAATATTTACAAATGATATATAAGTAGCATTTTGCAATAAATTTACTTTTCATTATGGTAAAAGTGAAACTGAGTACCACGTAGTTTTAATTACTCCTTAAAGAAAAGTCTAGAGAGCCTCGTTATTAACATTTTGTGACCAATGATAATTCAAATCCAAGCATAAATCTCATTTTTCATGTTATAGGTTATCCTTATGATCTGAAAGTGCTAGTTCTTCATTAGAAATGACTGTCACCAAATAAAACAGAGGTGTTTCATTCACAAACTGTAAGATATAACATGGAGGAGCAGTCATATATTATTTTGATTATTGGATTTATATTTTAAAAGAACAAAAGAAAAATACTCTCATGAAACAAACCAGTCTTCATAAAATACACTTTCATTTACATACTAAAAGATAAAACAGGTCATAAAAGGCCAGTGTAAAATATTCAAATTGACTCTTGGTTTTTCAGATGGGAAATGAAAATCTTCACCAACAGCCTTAAACATCTTTATGAAACTATGCTGAAGGCAGTAAAACAAAAAATGTGTAACCATTTAAAATTGTAATTCACAGAAGGCAAAAAAGGAAGCAGCTACCATTAAAACCAATCGCACACAGCTGCAAAAAAGAAATGGCTTGAGAAAAACACATTAAGAAGTAGGAAAAAACAATTTTAAAGGGACCACCTGAAAAATGAGAATTTAATTAAAATGATTATGATAACACTGAAGAGTTCCTGCAAGGATAACTTTATATTTTTACTTCATAAGGTAGATCATTTTAACTGCTCTTAAATATTTACAGTTTCTTAATTTAAAGCAAGTTGCAATGTATATGGTTAAGGAAGGACCATGTTGTTTCTCATTAGTTTACCCGAATACTTCTGTCATTCAGCCCCGAGTTATGAAGCAGTCTGAATTAGGTTTAAGTCCATCTATTTTGGTGGCTTCTTAAGTTGTGTTTATTAAATGTATAATATTCTTATAACAGTAAAATCCTTTAAAAAAATTTCATCAAAAGCCACTGCAATTTTAAAGAAAGTATATGTGAAGTAGTTTATCAAAGCCTTTTCTACTTTTTATGTATTTTGTTTGAGGTGGTGGGTAAACAGTTTTTATTTACTGAACCTCTAATACCTATTTCTTATTTTGATCAAAAGAGGGATAATTTCCTATATGTTCAAATAGAATATGAACATAATTTTAAGACCTAGAGGAGAAATCCTATATTGTGAAAAAAATTATCAAGGGGGTAAAATAATGGTACTTCATTAAAATATCAGTGTAAAAAATCAAGAAGAATGAACTCTCAAGCTATCAAAAAATAATTGTAAAGCTGTGATGCTATGGATAATATTCTTTATGATCAGATCAAACTTTAGTGTATGTATCCATATAAAGGGTACACACACATGTTATTTCACATATTTACACAGATACATTTTATAGGTATTGGCAATGAAATTTTAAAATGTGTAATATTCAGGCATTTTGTTTCTCACATTCTTATGAAAAGTACTTCATGTTCTTTTCATGATGGACCCTCAGTTCCGGTCCTTCATTCTTTCTGGCCTTTGGAGATGAGTGACTACTTTCAGTTTCTCGTTTTCCTATTCCTGTGATTTTGGTTGTCGAAATTTACTTAACTATCCCAAATAAACCTATTGGGCATAGGTAATAAATATGTCATTTTGTTACTTATCTCAATATTTAGGACAAATTTTCTCTTGCCTTTACATGATGTAAGGTGTTCTGTGCATCTATGTATATATAAAAATCCGATTTTTTTTGAAAGTTGTGGTTTTTTTTTTCCTTTACTTACCTAATCATATTCTATATGTCACACATGGTCATTAGCGGTGTGTAGGCTAAGTAGCTAAAGGTTTATGAGCTGTGCTTGCATGCAGTTTCTGTTATATTTCTGAAACTTAAGTATTTAAAAAATTAGAAAGATGCAGCTTTTCCAGAGGGAGAAATGTATTTACATATATTTAATTACTTTATAAGTCACCGTAGAGATGGTTTTAACATGCATGTCCTATAAAAAGATGAATCGAGTAGGACTGCCTAGGTGCTAGAGTTTGAAGTCAAACATCTAAGTTCTAAGCTTCACTGCAGTCCTTCCGTCTCGTCTGTAAAATGAAAGCAACAATAGTAACTGACTCAAGGTGTTATCAGAAGCATGGGATGCTTAAAGCAAATAAATCACTACACAAACATCAGCTTGTTGGCATTAGAGTACATATTATAATGTTGGATTTTCTATAAAGCACTTCATCTGTCCCCTCTCATTGTCTGCAGTAGGGTGGACGCTAGCTCCTAGTACTGCTGGTAATGAAAAGGAAGAAAATAAACCAATAACATAACCGTACATCTAATAAAAATTTTAGAAAATTGTAATGTAGCTTGACTAAATTAAATTACCCTTCTCAAAGTGAACCTCATCCTTTCTGGCCTTTTATAATGTCCCAATTTAATTTTGCTTTAGCTTTGAAGGATGAATCTGGAGAAGAGACAAATAGGCATGTTTTTTATATAATGAGAATTTCCACACATTAGAATAGAGAAATGAACAAGCCATTCTAAGCTTCAAAGGAAAATGACGAATAAAAACAAAGACATTTTTACCGTGTGTGAACTGTGTTTTAAACATTCTTGCAAGCTGTTTCGGATTTTATAAGCTTCTGGCTCATTGATGGCTCCACGAAGCAGCCGCGGAAGTCAGAGCTTTCAGATGAGTAATTTTAAGTTAAGCTTACTCCCATACTGTATCTCATGGATGCAATATAAGTGACCTTTAAGAAATTGTCCGGCTTTGGCACACGTGCTCATACACACACACACACACACGCACACACACACAAACATACAATTGTAGCATGGTCTACAAATGCATGTAAAGACTCAACTTGAATGTTGAATATAGAGCTTTTTCTCTTTGAAAGGAAAATTGGTAAATGGAAGATAACTAGGCTCTTGCTTTTTATGCATTTTATTAGTCTCATTCAAGTATTTAGTATTTTTTTATTTCAAAAATCTTGAGAATTGAGCCGTAATTTTACTTGCCAGGGTTTCATAAGCCTATGAATGCCATTTTCTCCAAATTTACTGTTAGTGCTGTATGTGAAGTTGATAGCTTTATTAATATTTTTAAAAATCATATTATTGAAAATATGCACACTGCTTGGGCAAAATCAGGCTAATTCAAATTGGATCAAGCCTATGTGTAGTATAACTTGGGTGCTTTGAAAAGGATGCCCATTAAATCTATGCCTGGGTTCTGTGACAAAAGTCTTGCTTTCTTACATAAGATATTTTTATGTCTTTAATAGTTATCTCCTGTGGAATGTAATGTTCTTAGTGTGAAGAGAAATTAAAACAGGATTCTGTTTAGTTGTGAATATTACTTATAAAATTAATCAAGAACATTTCCATGGATGAATGAATAGATCTACGTGGAAGCTGATCTCTCTCACCCTACTACTCGTTTGTATTTTAGGACCGAATCTTACTAAAATGCTTTCCCTGAAATACTCATTTTCCATTTAGATTAGTGCTATCCAGACTGTGTATTTCCAGATATTGGAGAAAATATTCCCCAGTGCATTCAACTGAAATCTAAATACTCTAAACTTTGAAATGATCTTGCAGACCAGATGAAATGTCCTAAATAGTTATTTATCTGCTATTTGTATTAATGTCAACTGAAAATTAAATGCTTATTAAACATTTAAAATTAAATGCTTATTAAGTATTTTTAGGTATCTGAGTAAATTTTTTCAAAGCCACAGTTGATAACTTTTGCTGACTGAGGGTGTTGCATAGATTTGTGTGCATAGTATTTCAGCAAAGTAGTTTTCCATTCTCACATTCTGGTTTTGATTTGATTGAAAGGTGGCATTTTTTTCCTTTCTTGCAATCAGACATGCTAATCTATGTCAGCTTTCTCCTTTATGGGAATGGCGTCTACCGGAAAAAAAAAAAAATAGAACTATTTAACTTTTTTTTTTTCCATAACAACAAGATTCTGTTCTTTAAGAATATTTCAGCACCATTAATTAGAAAGAAGGTTTTATTAACCATAAGGCTAGGCCTAACAGACCACAGAGCTGTTTTTTAAAGTACTGTATGCCATAGCTGCCCTGCTTTTTCTCTGTCTAAAACTTCATTTTGTTATACTCTCATCAATCACTTAAGTCATTACCGTAAATCCTACTGTTGTTAATTTTACTAGTATCACCCTAATGAGACATTCTTGTTATAATTAAAAATGAATTCTAACTTTAAGGCATTCTAAATTTTTTTTTAATGAATTTAGAATGATCTTGCCACATGACCGTAAATACCACTGATATACATAGACTACTTATCAAGTCTATAAGAAAAGTAGTATCATAATATATCCAGGTATGAATTATTTACTGGTTGCCTCTGTGCACATGTGCTTATGCATATGTAGATTTTTGTGCCCATAATTAGGAATTATGTTCTTTTTACTGTAAAACCTAATATGTTTTACTGAAGCTACTGATAAATCCTTATTCTTTGTCTTGACAAAATATAGGTGAATATAACACAAACAGTAGTACTCCCTGGAAGTAGGTGTCCTAGAGCACCATCTGCTGGATATATTTGGGGACTTAATATTGGTAAATTGGAAAATCAGTACTTGATAAGACAGGTATACTTTGTTTTTAATCACCTGCAATGTCTTATTTACGGGTCACAAATAATCAAGATATGGATATTTGTGTTTAACTATATAAATGTATTAAGTCACTTTCTTCCTTTGCCCCACCCTAACCTGGATTTAGAGCTTTATAATTAATTTTTCTTTAAAAACGAAGTAAACACAATATATGCCTTGTGAAACAAATCGCACAAATTGTCATGCAATAAAATTATCATCTTGATTGCAGTCAGCAGCAGTTAGAGAAAATTGAATGCTATTTTAACTTTAGGTTCCTAATGGTCACTGGATTCTGAATAT